CGGAGGAGGAGGAAGAGGAGGAGGAGGAGGCGGCGGCCGGGAGCCGGGGAAGAGGGGCGGGGGGTGGGCCGGGGGAGGGGAGGAGCGGGATTTGCGGAGCGCGGCGCCGCCGCCCGGAGCCGGCGGGCCCGAGAGTGACCGAGTCACGGCGGGCGCCGGCGGAGCCGCGGCGTCGGACCCGCCTCCTGGAGGAGCTCAGCCTCGGCCAGGCCCGGCCCCATTCCCGCCCCGTGCCGCCTCCCCGCCGCAGCCGCCGCCGCCGCCGCGGGAGCGCTCCGCTGCCCACCCCGCCCCCGCGGCCGAGCCCGGGAGTCGAGTGGGAGTCGGCCGGCCGGCGCGGGCAGCGCCGGGACCCCGCGGGGGACACTGCAGCCGGAGCCCGGGAGGGGCCGCGCCGCCACCGTCTGAACTAGGATGTCCCGACATGAAGGTGAGAGGAGCCCCCACCCCCACCGCCAGGGCCTCGGCCTACCCCGCCCGGGCCGGGCGCCGCGGAGGGCGGCCGGGAATCGGCGGAGACTTGGGCCGAGCCCGAGCCGGGCCCGAGGCGCCGGGCCCGAGAGCGAGCGAGGGCGGAGAGCCGCGGCGCAGCCGCCGCCGCTGCCGCCGACACCGCCGCGGCCCTGAACTGGGCCTGGTGCCGGAGGCGGGGCGACCGGGCAGGCCGGAGGGTTTGCACTGTCATGGGGCGGGGGAGGGGGAGGGGAGGCGGGGGGCCCGTTACCGGCGGGAGCCGGGCCCTCGGGACTGATACCGGACGCCGCGGCCCGCCCGCCAGGCCCCGGAGTCGCTGGGCCCCGGCGCGGCCTAGCGCTCCCGCCGTCCCGGAAGGGCCCGGTGCGGCCGCCGAGCGGGGCCGCAGACGGCGGCAGGAGACCGAGGAGCCGGCCCGGGACCCGGCGGGCGCGTCCGGTCGCCGGGAGACGACGGCGAGCGCCCCTGCCTGCGGGCGACTGCGGGGCGGGCGGGAAGGCTCTGCGGCCGGGGAACGGGAAGCCCCCGCCGCCTGGAGCCCGCCCCGGCCTCGCGGCTAGGCCTCGGCGCGGCCCTGAGCTCGGGTAACCAAGTTCCCGGGGCGGATCCGTCCCGGCCGGGCGAGCAAACTCCCTGCTCGGTCACCCGGTAGGAGGGGGACTGGCTCCCGGCCGGCCGTGGGCCCCTCTCCCGGCGTGCATGTCTCCCTAAACCAGGTTTTGGTAAATGACCGTGGTGAGGTCTGTTAGTGGTCAGGGAGCGTTTTGGACTTTGTTTTGCGATTTAAAAACATGATGGGGGTACAGTTGCAAATCAGCAGACAGCTCTAGCCCGGCCCCAGGGCACAAAGAGAAAAATGTTTAGAGCCGAGGTATAGGCGTTGATCTGGTAAAAAATAAGTTAACTTCAGTTTGCTGCCATATGGTTTAGAAAAGAGGGAGGGGGGTTGTGTTTTCTTTGTTTCACTACCACAGGTCTTTAAATAAAAAGTATTACGAGACTTGGCGAAAAGTTTATCCTGGTAAGGTTAATGCAACATTGTAGAAGTGGCTTGAAGATATTGTGTACTCTGGATGTTAAAATACTGTATAGGTGATGTAGGAGTGGAGAAAGTTTAGTGAGTCACATTTGTGTGTGCATCACACTGTTAGAAGGGTATTCTTAGGGAAATACAGGCCTTAGACTTTAAAGATTGAAAAACTCAGATTCAAAATTATATTCAGAGCATTACTAATTATAATGTAATTTGAGATGGACTCCAAGAAAATATTGTGTCCAAGGGTTCTGTATTTTAAAGTCAGAAAACTAATAGGAAATAGGTTATATTTTCTTCACTTACTGTGTATAAGTGTTGGACAGTTTGAAATAATAAGGTACATAGGCTCATAGAAATATTTAGAAGCTATGCCTATTTTCCCATTTTCTTCTACTTAATGGCAATACATTTTCTATCTTGTAATTTAAAAGAAGTTGTAATTAAAGTTATAATAAAATTTTAATTGGGGATATTAAAGTTTATCTTAGGCTGAAGTCGTGTGTACATTGACCACCTTCAAGACAAAACGAAAGTGAGTAATGGCTGCAGGCTCTCTTACTCATAAGAACTAGGAGAGTTAAAGTTACAGAATCATAGCAATGGAAGAAGGGTGTTTGAGACCCATTCTCCTTGCTTTAAGAAAATATCCAGGTAGTTCCAGATGGAATATTCAGATTGAATGGTGTCCTGGGAAGATTCCTTTACCCTCAGTAATCTTTTAGAGTAATTAAAATCCCACAGCGTGAACATTCTTGAATGTAACACAAATTCTGTAATTTAAGCCCAGTTTTCCCTGTTTGGTCCTGTGGAAAGGCATGTGGTCATGAAACTTACATTTACCGTTTAGTTACTTGAATATTACTGAACTCCTCAGCACATGAATAGCACACCTTTTCTGGTAACTTACATAATGCCAGAGGTTTCTGAAAAAGGAGCATTCCTATAATATATCAGTTTAAGACTTATAGTACAATATTTGACAAGTGATTACTTTTTAAGGGTCTGGTTTATGGCCTAAGGCAGGAATGGCAGTCTCATTAAGAATCACATTTAATTCATTAGATATATGTTTTGTGGAATTTTAGTTTAGGCTGCCAGTTATTTTCATCAGTAGAAATTTAGCCTATCAACAAATGTAGAGTTTGACACCCTCGATATTATAGTTTGTTTCTTACCCTTTCTTCTTTGGGCCAAGTAATCCCATTTCTTTAGTGGTATGATTTTTGAGACCTTTCAATCATCTGTCCACCTCCAAATTCTCTGTAGTTGTTGTTTTCCTTTCAGTAGTATGACCCAGGACTGGGTGTAGTAGTCTGCGAAAAGATCTGAACTGAGCTGCCTGTACTGTTGTGCTTGCATTGTTCTTCCTTTTCAGTGCCTTCTGTAGGCATGTAATTTGTTAGTTTGTCTTTGGGCCCATCCTAATGAGTTGCGCTATTTTATATGTAACATGTAACTTTGGACAACACAGCCCCAGGATGGACATCTGTCAAGCTTAGAGTCTGTACTTGGTGAAGCAGTGGACTACCTCTGAGAAATGAGATGCAACTAGAAGCATAGAAAAATGTCCTAGCCCAGGGGTCAGCATGCTTTTTTCTGTAAAGGACCAGGTAGTAAGTATCATAGTCTTGGCAAGCTATAAGGTCTCTGTCCACTCTGCCGTTGTAGTATAAAAGCAGACAGCATGTAATTAATGAGCACAACCATGTTCCGGTGAAAACTTTCTTTATGGAACTGCTGTTGAATTTCATTTTAATTTTCATGTGTCATGACATATGATTCTTTGTTTTACCATTTAAAACTGTAAAAATTGTTCTTAGCGTGCAGGCTGTTCAAACACAGGAGGTGGCCAAATTTGGCCCATTTTGGCCTGCAGGCTATAATTTGCCTACTTTTACTCTAGAGTAGAGCTTTAGAGAGCTGATAGAACTGGAATTGTTGGGAGTCCAGAAAGGGCCCGCTCTGCTTGGTGTTTCCTTTGGGAATGGGGAGCAAGTCCATGGACTGAGCCAGTTCTGTACCTGTTTCCAGCAGTACCATGTCAATTGGGATAGAAGTCATTGTTCCTGAGGCATGGGAAGCAGACTCCCCAACCACCTTCCCAGACACTGTCTGAGTGGAGATGATGGTATTCTACATTGTCTCCCGCTTGCCCAACGTGACTTTTCCAACCAGAATTCCAGGGCCTTTTAATTCACTTTGTAACGTTCTTGTCACGTTAACAAACATTTTACAACATCAGTTCCTAGTCACTTTATGTTCAACATACCAACACCATCTAGTTCCATGTTATACACAGTGAAACCAATCATTTTCTATTTCATTTGTAAGAGTATTTTTTTTAATGTTTCACTACATACTTTCCTTTTAAATACATTTAAAGTATAACTGTGTTATGCAGAGCTTAAAAACTATATAATAGCTTTGCACATATTTTTAAAAACATCAAATTACTCAGTGCTTATTAGCTAAAATGAAATTATGAGTGTTCTTGCATGAGTTGGAGCCTAATTGATTACCTGGGGTTATTACCTTAAATCATTCAACCTTTTTTTATTCGCTACTATGTATAAGGCCCTGGGTTAGTTACGGAGAATGTGGGGATGAATGAACAAGACACAGCTTCTCACCTTAAGTTTGGTGGGGAAGGTGCATGTGTGCACAGCTTCTACCGCCCAGTAGACATACCATAAGGAAGGGATAAACAAATTGATGACAAAATAATTACCAACTTTTTTCTTGCTAATTTTGCCCAATTTCAGAGAGGGAATCTACTGTGATTCCTAACTCCTTTTTCTTGAGTGCCGCCTCAGCTTTTTTGTGGGCTACTCTCGATTTTGGATAAAATTGTTCAAGATTTCAAATAGAGTTCCTTTCTGTACCTGATTTATATTTCCCCTAGTTTTTTGAAGATTTTCATATGTAAAAATGATAGTGAATAAATGGACAAGTGATGATACTGTGTTATTCTCAGAAGCATCTGATACTGTTTATTTTCAGAATGTAATGTACAAGAGTAAGTAGGCCATTACTCTAGTTTTTGAAAGTTGTACCATTTTTTTGAAATTGTAGAACTCTTCTGTTAGTAGATTTCTCTTCTCTGAAAGTGCTGTCTGATGCTAAAAATGCACATGCAGACAATCCCGTAGTGAATTGCAATAATTTTGTTTTCAGGATTTGGGGACTGGAAAGCCAGGATTGGCAATTAGCATGTGATTTTAATGTGGTGACTTTTGCCTTCCTGTGGCAAAGTAGATTCACTCCCACTGAAAAGAGCTTTGCCATCATGTCAGACAACTTATTTTACTTAAATGATCTGTTGAAAGATTATGACATTCTTACTTGACTTTAAATTTCAATAAATCATGAATTACATTTACCTTGACTTTCAATAAAGGATAGAACATAAATATTTTAATTTCTGGGGTCTTCGATTTCATGATTTTGTATAAAGTTGATTTTGAAGCCCATTTTCCCCATATATTGACATATGTGTTAAAGTTAAAATGTGATGAAATATAACTTCCCTCTCTTATTTTAAATTAGAAATTTAATTTGGAAGAAATTCCTTTTAGTCTTAGAATTTTAAGAATTTATTAGCAGCAATCTTGCTTAAAGATTGAAAACTTTTTCACAGTGGAAAATTAGGAAGCTTCTGATGTGAAACTACCAAATTCCTTCATATTACACTTGCGACATTTCAGAAAAGAAATCCATGCCCTTATGAGTCATTACTTAATTTTCAAAAATCAGCTTTATAACATCTACCATATATATTTGCTGAGGTTTGGGTGTTTCTTTTAGACTGGGGGTTCCAAAAGTTGTTCTTAGTGAAGATTAAGGTATCGTTGTGTTATCCTAAAAATAGTGTGTTTTTAATTTCATTATAAATATTGCTGTGTGGCTACATTGATGAATACGGAAACGTTTCCTACCCATCATACTCATAAAATTTAAAAGGAGTGCTATTCATAATTAAAATCTTTGTTGATAAAAGTTTCATTTCATGTTAATTTTAGTGTTGTGCTAGGAGCCATGATGTTGTTCATTTCCTTAAAATGATATGGTATGCTTTTTTAGTCACTTAAGCTATTCATTATAATTGAAGAAAGAGTCTGTAAGAGGTATACAGATCAGAGCATTTTTTAAATGTGCTAATTTTTATATATTATCTATGTCCTGATTCATGTTGGAGATATTGGATAAGGCAGACAGTTTCCTGAGGGAACAAATTACCTACGTTCCATGGGAAGGAAGTGAGTATTTTGGGTGAAAAGAGAGGACTTTTTGGGGATGGTAAGGACAAGAGGCCAGGAGGGTGATGGCAGAGGAAAGTTAGGGTGGGCCTGAAGCTTGGAAATTATCTGTAGTCACAGGGAGTCAGAAACACAAAACTAACTCCTATGCCGATGAAATGTCTTAAGAGCTGCATGCCAGGAGGTAAAAACTCACTGTCCTGTGAAACTAGCAAGAGATGAATTGCCTGATTAGGCACCTTCCAGGGTGCCATCCCTGCTACCTTTCTCACTGCCTTCCCACATGTTTGTTAATCCGTGTTTTTAGCTGTGTCTTTCTGAATAGTGACAAGCAGAGTGTGGGTCTATCCAGTTCATATACATGGTCTGTGTATCTTTTCAGGGCCACAGTACCAGCCATCAGTCCAGCAGACTTTGCCCGTAGCCACAAGGGGTATCAGGGAGAAAGTATGGATGGATCCTTGCAAATCCATCACTGCTGTGAGAAAAAACCAGCTGAAATCACAGGAGTGGGTCGGTCAATCAAGTCACCTTCAGCTTGGAGGGACAGACAATAAGTGGGTGAAGCCTCTTGACATCATGACTAATTAGGTTTGCACATTATGTTCTGCTGAAGTGTGTGTCTGTGTGTTCCTTCTCTTGGTAGTATTCATTGCCACTGTCATGAACTTCAAATTTTGCTACAGTCAGAGGATCTTCATTCAGAGCGCCACTTTAGAGTGCTAACTTGATGAGTTGACCATTCGAACAGTCACAGGTATACTCAACTATAATGTTTGGTTTTGACTTTGGTTTCTTTTGTTCCTTAAGACTCTGTCACCCTCCCCATCCACCCAGCAAAGTTAAGTTCCTCCGGTAGCACTCCTGCCTCATTCTCCAGGCGTTTTTTTATGCTGCAATTGTTTACTTGTCTGCCTGCCCCACAAACTACCTGAGGGGTAGATATAGTGTTACACTTACCTTTGTACCCTACCACCTAGCATAGTGTCTGGCCTTTGGAGGCCCAGTGAACATTTGCCGGTGATTGTTAGAGATGTTAATACTTGTCTAAAAAATGGTGAGACTGGACAATGCATTCCTGTTTTTATCTGGAGGAACTGGTTAAGAGGGAGAGAGATTGTAGGAAAGAGAACTTGGAACTTCCATAAAAGTAAGAAGGGATGAATAAACTATGTACATAGAATGAAAATAACTTAGGGTAGCTGACTCCTGTGGGGATGGCCTGGGACTGGACTCCGAGGTACTGTTTTGTTCTCCTTCTGGCTCTGGTTTCAGATTAGCTGTGGGTTCTGCATATTAATTGTACTGTGTATGAGTTTTTTGGTTCATTCAGTCATTCATTCAGCAAATATTTATGGACTGCCTACTCAAGTACCACTCAGTCATCTCCAGAGCTTGCCGCAAGTTGTTGACCCTTGCTGCAGGATGATGATATTCAGCGGGTTAGAAACACATGTTTGGGAATTAAATGCTGTTGCATAGGTTGTGGCTCTTTTCCAGTGTGCTCGAGTTAGTCCTTGAAGTTTATGTATTATGACAGGATAATTAAGTCATGTAAGTGTTTTAATGTTTTGGCAATATTTGCTCCCCCCTCCTTTTTCTTTTTTTTTTTTAAGCTTATTTTCATTCACGCTTCACAATCACTTCTAATGCTGTCCAGCAGTATATTTCTTTCTTTAACAATATTATCCTTAGACTGTAAGACTCAACACACATCTGCATATATAAGTATCTTTTTGATATTGAATACTTAGAAAAGAGCTCAAGGGATTAAGCTTTTTGTATTCAGTATAGTTTTTTTGCGAAGTCCTTATGGTTATATAGCAACTGTTGGGGTGAGTAACTAGACCCTACTTCCTTCTGTTATTCTTCCTCAGCCAGCATTCTCCTTTGGTGTCCTCTGTGATTGTAGAGGTTTGACAGTGCAAGCAAATGAGAAACTTTCTAAGTCAGGAGTTAACATTGAAATAAAATGGGCGGGGATTATATAAAGGAGTTGTTACAGTTGTGTCCCTTCTCTGCAAGAATGAAATACATGCTGGGAGCTGGGGGTTGGTTTGGTGTTGGGAACCAGGTAGTTTTCATAATCAGAGATCTTATGTTCATCCTTATTGACACTACTAGGGATTCTGACACAGTTAATTGCAATTTGAATTGAATGTCACCTGTTCACGTGTTTGTATAGCTATAGATATGGATATACATAGTAGTCACAGAGGTAGAACCAGTCTTCCTATCCTTGGGAAAAATGGTGATTAGAACCTCAAGTTACAGTGGATGAGCATCTGGCCCGTGGTGATCCTGTATTAGGCCAGGATCAGGGAGCTTCACTCCATGTCAGACATACTGCATATCTTCATGCTCATTCATTGTTCCATATCATTTTCTGCAAGCTTCTTAGAAATCACCCAAATGGTAGAGGAGATAGCAAATCTACTTGCAGAATTGGGGTGCATGATCACACTGTCCAACAGAAATCTAATTGCAAGTCACATGTAATTTTAAATTCTCTGATAGCTACAGTAACAAAACTAAGGAAGTGAAATTAATTTTAATAATTTAATGCTTTTAACCCAATATATACAAAACAGCATTTCAACATGCAATCAGTATACAAATTGTTTATGAGATATTTTTACATTCTTTATTCTTTACAATGCTATAAAAATCTAGGGTATAGTTCACACTTAATACTTTTCAATTTAGATGCTAGATTTTCATAAAGAATACTTGGTCTTGGGCTTCCCTGGTGGCGCAGTGGTTGAGAGTCCGCCTGCCGATGCAGGGGACACGGGTTCCTGCCCCGGTCCAGGAAGATACCACATGCCGCGGAGCGGCTGGGCCCGTGAGCCATGGCCGCTGAGCCTGCGCGTCCGGAGCCTGTGCTCCGCAACGGGAGAGACCACAGCAGTGAGAGGCCCGCGTACAGCAAAAAAAAAAAAAAAAAGAATACTTGGTCTTAGTTGAGACATACTTTAGACTCGTATATCGGGGGTCTGCTGATTCATCTTTTGATCATGTACTGTCTCTTTTTGTAAGTACATGTTGATGCAGTATTGCCATCTACTTAATGGTCTGTTCATTAACATTCTAGATTTCTGTTCCTAGAATTTCTCTCCTATGAAGCTAGGTTTTACCTTACTTTTTCACCTTAAAGTTATTTTTAACTTACTTTAACTGCATATAACCATCACAGTAGAAACCTACTTTATAAACAGCTACAAATGTATATAAATTCTAATCCCTTTGTGAGCTGTTCAGATTGATGAGGTATAAAGTAATGGCTTCAGGGTGATTTTAATGTGAGTTTGGGGGTTATTTTAAAGTCCCCTGCGTTGACAAATGTAGAATTTGCAAAAATTGTTACTAGTCCATTTCAAGTTCTATTACGGTGAATTCATCATTTGAAAACAGTGACCCCTAGGCTTGGTAATTTATTGTCGATATATTTCATTGTATAGATTAGATCTCTAGTATCCATCTCCAAAAGTCTCTTGGCATCTAGCAATAGAAAGACAGGTGGTTATGATTGTTCTTTAAAGTAATTTTAAGGAAACTGACTATGGAGTTAATACTTAGCCCACTATCAGGGTTAGCCACCCACTGGTGACTTCTCTCTTTTACCTATTTGGCTTATTGTTTTCCAGTTACAGCTGGATTTGCAAGTGAAAATAGAGTGTTTGGAAGATAATCTGTTAAAAATTAAAGACCTAGTGTTTTTCTGTCTTCATTTTATTGGAGCAACATTTCCACTGAGCAGTCAGTTTTACGGTTCTTTTTTTTTTTTTCCCTGCAGTCCCCCTCCAGCCAGATCACTGGAACATAAGGAATCTGTGGCTCGCTCTCTCTTTTTTTTTTTAATAGTATAAAAATGCTAGTACTGTCATTTTTGGGTACTCTCATCCAGTGGTTCTCAAAGTGTGGTTCAGGACCAGCAGTATCAGCATCACCTGGGAATTTGCTAGAAATGCAGATTCTTGGACTCTACCCTAGACCTACCAAATCAGAATTTCTGGGGGTCGGGCCCAGCAGTCTGTGTTTTAACAGGCTCCTACCTGGACCCAGTTACAACCAAAGGCATTCTTTGCCTGAGGTTGTTATTGCTGGTGACAGGCACACAATGGTTGTGGGACCACTTTTCATGGTGTGATACTAACCAAATGGAAATGGAGCTCATGACCTTGGCATCATTCTTCTTGAACGTCATGCTGTTGTCACCTGAGGAGGTGCAAGAGGAGCATAGCTCTCTGCTCCAGACTAGTTCTATTTGTTTGTTTACTCAACATATATTTATTGAATCTGTACTAGGGGCTAGGCACTATTCTGGCCACAAGGAAACCATAGTGAACAAAACAGAGAAGCTTCCTGTCCCTCTGACACTCACACTCTATTAGAAGGAGTATACTGGGGGTGTATGGCCTACAAGCCAAACTTGGCCACTGCCTGTTTTGGTCAATAAAGTTGTATTGGAGCACAGCCACATCTCCTCTTTCCCATATTGTCTAAGCTGCTTTGTGCTACAGTGGCAGGATTGAGCAGTTGTGACAGAGAAAGCTGAACATATTTATTCTCTGCCTCTTGGCAGAAAAGGTTTGTGGATCCCTGAGAAAGACCATGAAAGAATGAATAAGTAACAGTGTTAGGAGGTGACAAGTGTTACAAGAACCCATACAACAGGTTAAGGGAATAGAGAACGGGGGCCTACTTTAGATACGGTGGTCAGGAAGGGCCTTTCTGAAGACAGAACTTTAAAAGAAAAAATTTGAATTAAGTGAAGGATGTGTAAAGGAGGGTACAGCAAGTACAGAGGCCTTGAGACTTGGAATGCTCTGGGAACAGCAGTGAGGCCACTGTGGATGGCGGACAGTGATCGAGGGGGAAGAGGTAGGAAATGGAGTTGGCATAGCCAGGCCAGACCCTGCATACCCTGTATGGTGGGCTGTGGTGAGGACTGTTGAATTGTTAGTGCTTTGAGAAATACACTGTAGAAGCCCTTCTTTAGAGAGATCTTTCTGGCAAAGGCTGGAAACTAAATCCCTAATGAAGCACATTCCAGCATCTCTAAGAAACATTTATTTTTGAACTTTCCCCTATACTCTTCACTCTAGGGAGTCCACCAAGTAGGAGAATGGGAGGGAGTAGACTGCAGAGCTAAGAAAACATGAGCGAGTTGGAGAGAGGTAGATGGGACAATACTGAGGAGACCACGGTTTCTAGAACAGGAGACTCCCATATGCCAGTAAGTCCTAACTTCCAGTTCAGTGCTAGGAATCTGGTTTCTGTAAAAGGATACTAATATACTTCTTTGGCCTCTTCCCAAGGGTTGTTGTGGAGATGAAATGCCAGCACATGTAAGAATGTTTTCTAAGTTAGATAAAGTGCTGCACAAATGTAAGGTGATGGTATTTTTATTATGGGAGATAAGATTAGAAAGGAAGATTGGAGCAAGGTAGATAGGGAAGGATTTTGATTGCCACACTAAGGTCAGTCTTTTCCTTTTTCCATACAGGTTATGGGATGGAAGGGGGGTTGGGGTAGTGCATCAAAAGTTTTAAGCAGAGAAAGGGCATGATGAAGAGTGGCATGTTTTAGGAAGAGTAGTGGGGTCCGTGTGCAGGGTAGGTTGGTGCCTGGGGCAGGGACCAGTTAGAGACTCTGGCGGAATGAGCTTGAAGTTAAAAGGACCTGAATTAGTCAGTGACAGTAGGAGCAAAAAGAAAAAATATGACTTGAGAGAAAGTCCTATTGCAAGAGAGG